GCCGTCGGGGAGTGGGTGCAGCACGACGGGCGTGTTGTCGTTCTCGTCCCGCACCACCACGCGCAGCACCGCCTGGGCGCTGAGCGGCGGCGAGCCGCCGTCGGCAGCGCCCACCGCCACCTCGAAGAAGCGCACCTCCTCGTAGTCCAGCGGGCGGAGGATATAAACATCCCCGTTTTCAGAGTTGACCGACACGTCGGGCTGCTCCTTGCCCTCCTGCCGCAGCAGCGCATAGCTTATGCGGGCGTTTTTTCCCGCATCGGCGTCCGTGGCGTTCACGCTGCCGATCCGGAGCATGGGGCTGTTGTTCTCCGTGACCAACATGGTATAAACCTCCTGGGTGAATTCTGGGGGGTTGTCGTTCACGTCCGATATCTGCACGAAGATGCTTTCCTGAGAGCTCAGCCGCATCATCCCCCAGTCCGTGGCTGTGATAGTGATGTTATACTCCGCCGTCCTCTCTCTGTCTAGCGCCGCGTTTGTTCTCAGTTCGTAGTAATTATCAAAAGTAGGGGTGAGACTGAAGGGGAGGTCTCCATCGATCGCGCACTCCGTCCTGCCGTTGTCCCCGGAGTCTCGGTCCCGCACACTGAACAGGGCCACCACGGTCCGGGGCGGAGCGTCCTCGGGAATGGAGGCGGAGAGGGAGGTGAGCGCTATCTCCGGGGCGTTGTCATTCACGTCCAGGACCTCCACCTGCACTTTGCAATGCGCAGACAGCCCCCCGCCGTCGGTGGCTCTCACCACCATCTTGTGGTTTTCCGCTTCCTCAAAGTCCAGGTTGCCCGCGACTCGAATCTCCCCAGTGGCGGGGTTCAGCTCGAAGAGCTGCCGGGCCCGCTCCAATGTCTGGGTGAAGGCGTACCGCACTTTCCCGTAGGACCCTTCGTCGGGATCCGCGGCCGTGACCCTGACCGCCAGCTGCCCCGGGGGGCTGTTCTCGGCCAGGTGCACCTCGTAGACCTCCCGAGAGAAGAGCGGGATGTTGTCATTGGCATCCAGCACCACGATCCGGATCTGAGCTGTGCCCGACCTGGGTGGTGAGCCCCCGTCGGTGGCGGTGAGGAGTAAATTCAGCTCTCGCTGCTCTTCGCGGTCCAGCTGCCGCTCTAGAACGAGCTCCGCGTGTTTTACTCCATCTTTCCCTGTTCCCAGAGCAAGGGAGAAATGCGGGTTGGATCCGAGGCTGTAGTTCTGCAAACCGTTACTGCCCACGTCCTTGTCCTGGGCGCTTTCCAGAGGAAAACGGGACCCGGGAGGTGTCGTTTCCAGAATCTCTAAAACCATCTCTTTCTCCGGGAACACGGGGGAATTGTCGTTCACGTCACGAATCTCCACCTCCCCTCGGATCAGTTGCAACGGATTTTCAAAGAATATCTTAAAGAAGAGTGTGCAGGTATCACTCTGCGGACAGATCTCCTCTCGGTCCAGCGACTCCTTTACCGTCAGGACTCCGGTGTTTCGATTGAGGCGGAAAAGCTGCTCGTTCCCCTCAGACACAACGCGGGCCTTGCGAGCTGCGAGCTGGCTCGGAGCAATACCCAGGTCGTTTGTAATATTGGCGACAAAGGAGTCTCTCTCCATTTCCTCCGCCAGAGAATAGCGGAGGGTTTCGGCCGCGCTCCGACACAGGAAAACGCACAGAATAAAGAAGATCACTTGCCTCTTGCTGCCTCCGCTCCGTCTCCCCCACGCCACTACTCTCCAGAAAAGCCATCCACCGTCCCCCCTGCTTCCCAGCATTTTAAATCAGTCCGAGGTAGAACGGTGTTTGTCAGGAGTCCCGGGGTAAGGGAGTCCGAAAGCCGTCCCGGCTCCGTGCCCTTTCCGAGCAGCTCACACTTTTTTTTTGTTTCCCTGTGCCTGCAAATCCGGTGAGGGAAGAAAAACCTCCCGGTCCGTGGCCAACACCCCCACCCAGCGTCGCAAAGGGGAATATTTCCTCTGCCTTCGCATTCGGGGTAGTGCTGCTGGTGTGGAGTTTGCTGCTTGAATCTTCACTCTCCGTGCCGAACCGAAGTCCGAAGTCCCAGTGTAAACGCTCCCTTCGTTTGGAAGCAGGCTTCCTCCCCGCTTGGGGTATCGCTCCCCAGCTCGCAACCGCCAGCTCTTCATACACACTTGGTTTTCCTCTGTGTTGTGTAGGCATTGCAAGATCTGCCACTTCCAAAGGATGCATTGCGGGATTTTCCTTCTCTTCTCCACTTGTTCATGAGCTCAGGGCAGTTAGCAAGTGGGGCAGGTGAGAGAAGCACTGCTATTGAGTGAGAGCTGGTGCCAGGGACAGTTCCCGAAAGCAAAGGCTTCACCATCACCCTAATTCACCATCGCACTAGAATGATAAGGCTGTCCTAGGACACATCATCCTAATGTTGTTTTCTTCACATTGTGTATAACACCTCGCCCAAATGACACACAACTTTGACAGAAGTGTCCTCCCCTGTCGCCTGCTGAGCTTTGCACACATGATAAGGTGTGTAACGCTCGTGAAAAATTTTCCCAGCCGTACACAAACACTGAAATGCTGCAACCTGTTTTCATGTTTTGGAGGTATACAGTCCTTTCTCCTCTGTTGTTGCCACACAAGCTTAGAAATACTTTAAAGGTGTCTATACTCGGATGTCAGACCTGAATTCCTATAGCTGTGTAAAGATACACGGCCAGCAGGTACTTAATGTAAGTCAAGGAAACAAACAGGAGAGCTCTTAATTAAACCCTCAGATACACAAACGCTAAGGAGCAGGGGCTAGCGGAGACAATAGCAAAGACCAGGGATCTAACGACACTGATTGATGGGCCATTAAAGGAACCATTCAATGTAAACTCCAAAAGGTTCAACCAGAAACTCTGTAAACGATAAGGGACTGGAATGGGGACTCGGGAGGGGGGGGGGGGGGG